AGAGAGAGAGAGAGACAGCGTGAGCAGGGGAGGGTCAGAGAGAGAGGGAGTCACAGACTGAAACAGGCTCCAGGCTCTGAGCTGGCAGTCAGCACAGAGCCCGACGCGGGGCTCGAACCCACGAACCGCGAGATCATGACCTAAGTGAAAGTCGGACGCTCAACCGACTAAGCCACCCAGGCGCCCCTGAAGCAAATAATTATTAAATATTTCTGTATGAATCTCTAATAGACAAGAGTTTTTAAAACCACCTTATTACCAGTATCACGACTAAGAAGTGGATATTGATTCCTTAATATCACAAAGAAGTTCATTAATGTTCACGTTTTCCTGATTGTTAAAAAAAGATTTTTTATTTTATCAAATCAGGATTTAAGTAATGTTCGTAAAATTTAAATTGTTGGTATATCTCTTCAGTTTCCCTTTATAGATGTCCTGCCTCTCCGGCAACTCCACCTTCTCTATTTTGTGGCAAATTTTTTGTTAGGAAAAAGGGGGACTATTTATCACATCTGGATTTTGCTGATTACGTTTCTGGTAATCTAATATGCAATTTTAGGCACTGGATTTTATGTATATTGGATGTTATAGAGATTTGAGTAGGTGGTTTATTTATTTGGAGGATATTGTCTTATAGTTATCTCTTTTGGGGAAATCATAAGGTATTGATGATAATTGTCTAGATTTGATTATTTACAGCTTATGAAATGGTATTCTTCTAATGTACTCTTTTCTTCTTGATTTATTAGTGTAATAATTCCGTAATGGAAAACTTCCCCTCATCACAATTTCATTTTATTGAGGTTTGTAAAGTAAAGTAAGAATAAACTCTTTTTTTTTTTTTTTTTTTAGGTTTACTTATTTTGAGAGAGAGCTCAAAAGTGGGGGCAGGGGGCAGACAGAGAGGAAGAAAGAGAATCCCAAGCAGGCTTCGCACTATCAGCGTGGTTTCATAAACTATCAGATTGGATTATTTCTGTTACTCTGTCTTCATTTTCAGTAATTCTTCCTTTTACCATTTCAGATATGCAGTGGAGCTCCTTTAGTGAACTTTTCATTCACTTACTGTATTCAACACCAGAATTTCCATTTGGACTTTTATATAATTTTGATTTTCTTATTTCTTCTATTTGTTGATTTATTATTGTCACACTTTAACTATGACTTCCTTTAGTTCCTTCAGTGCACTTATAATAGCTGCTTTGAAGTCTTTTTTCTGCTTAATCCAATATCTGGGAATACTCAGAGACATATTTGTTCACTGCATTCCTCCTTGATTCTGGGTCACACTTTCCCATTTTTTTGCAAATCTTATAATTTTCTTTTCGCTGAAAGCCAGTCATGTAAATTAAAATATTGTAGTAACTCTAGTTTCTAATTTTTCCTGTCAGGGATGATAACATTCAGGAAAACACCAGGGACGTTGTATTCCCAAGCAAGCAGACGGATAAATCCAAAGAAATTCACCATTATATTTATTCTCTGTACCAATTAATTTTTTAAAATTTATTTTTATTTATTTATTTTTGATAGGTGGGAAAGGCAGAAGGAGAGAGGGAGGGAGAGAATTCCAAGCAGGCTCCATGGTGTCAGGGAACAGCCTGACATGCAGCTTGATCTCATGAATCATGAGATCATGACCTGAGCCGAAATCAAGAGTTGGACACTTAACCAACTGAACCACCCAGGTGCCCCTGTACCAATCAATTTTTAAAAGCCTAGAGCTGTACCAAGGGAAACTGAACTATAATCTATAAACTGACGACCATGCTACAGTAGCATTAGCAAGCAAAATCAGTTGTCTCTACAATCTCAGATCTCCTTCGTTTCCTTTCTTGTTTCTGCATAAATAAACCCTTAAAAGGAAAACAATTTGATTGACTTAAATATATTAGAGTTAATCTACGGAGGATGTATATAGTACCTCAAGGAAATGAATTTCCTACAGATTAGGCCAGTTCTATCCTTTGTTTGCATTTTTATAGGAAACATCTAGAAAAAGAAATAGTTGGCTCAAGAGAAGGTATTTCTTTGGAGGAATTGCCCAGTGTGTCATCCCTAGGAGATAACATGGTGGGAACATCGTTTTATGACTGATTCAGCACCAAAGCTTATTCAAGATCTTGTGAGAGAATTAATATCCATGTGAAGCATAAGTGTGCTTTTATTACTATTCAGAATAATGTCTTGACTTTTCATTAGAACCAAATTTATTTAGCAAAACATCTATGCTGCGGCCGTAAGAAAATGTAATTATCCTGAGATTGACCTGTCTTTATTCTATGTGACACCAGATTTTGTATGAAATTTCTAGAACTAGACCAACTCCTCAACACTCTGTCAACCAAAAGTACCTGTATCAGAAAAGATAAAATCCATCACCTTGAAAGGAGAGAAAACAACCTAACAATCTATGACTGGGGGTACCCTAATCTGTCTGTATCCACGGACCAAGAGTCAGAAGACAGTTCAGTTTCCTGGGAGAAGGTATTGTTATTATTCGTCTTATACCACCAATTGCTACTGTCAAAGTTGTGAAAGTTCTGTAAGAGTTGTGAAAAATTTAAAGGATAGTGTGTATTTGCTTAAATGTGAAAATATTCTATTTGTACAATGTGAGGCCAACATCTGTAGGAGAATAAGACAGTATATAGAGATATAGATAAATAGATACAGATATAGATAGATACATAGATGTAGATAGATCTATAGATAGTAAATAATATATATATATATATATATATATATATATATATATATATATATATATATATAACTCCTTCCTCCTTTATATCTATATTGACTGCATGAATAATTAATTCAGCAAGCATACCGAGCATTTATTATCTGCCAGTCACCATCATGGTCATTGGGGATATAGTATTGAACAAAAACAGGTATAACTCCATCAGAGCATACAGGGTAGGAGTAAGATACAAACATTGCATATATACTTACAATGATGAATTGGTGCTTTAAACTTAGATAAACTTCTGAAGAGATTACTTTGGGCTGTGAGCAACAGAGAAATGTTTGTATAATAGGTAGTGCTGAGAAGGTTTTTGAGAAAAGGTGATATATGAGCCTATAAACATATTTCTGTCCATATTTCCTCAAGTTGTGCTCCCAAGTACATTCACTTGTCTATCTTGATATTTCTTGAAATGGGTCCTATGATTAAATTGGTGTGGGAAATACTAGAAATGCATATTGCACTGTAGTGTATTAAGGTATCTGGGGAGGTCTCTTAGCAAATAAACTTCTTTGATCTTATTGAATCCAGCATTTCTCAGATTTTGACTATAGAATCCTTCCCTGCCCTAACCTTTGAGAATCTTGAGAAACTGATGTTCCATGAACATGGCTTATGCTTATTGAACACGTACTATGTGTTAGACCGAATGCTATTTCACCTGCATTGCCTCATTTATTTATTATAGCAACTATATGAGATTAGGGTATATTATTCCATACTATAGATACTTTTCCATACTACAGACGAGGAAATTGAGGCCTGAAGCTAATACATAATTGCTTATGCTCATAGAAACTGAGGATATATGCATAGGTTGATAACATATTCTCTTAACTGTGCTATTGTTTGGGGAAATGCTGACTTGAATGAAACTATTTTTGTTATTTGTATCTTAGATGAGCAAGGTACAGTTTGTACCTTAAAAGAGCAAAACCCCTTACAGATTGCTAGCAATACTGAGTGTTGTTCCTGTGAGTTATGAATACCTGATTGGACAGTACTATATATTCCGTCCTCACCCCTGGAAATTTGTATCTCTTTAATACCCTTCACCTATTTTGCCCACCCCCTTCAGCCCTCCCCTCTGACAACCATTAGTTTATTCTCCATACATAAGAGTCTGTTTCTCTTCTTTATCATTGTTTGTTCACTTGGTTGGTTTTTTTTTTTTTTTAGAAAAAACCAGATTATTAATTAGAATATTAGATATTTTTAAAAGTGAATCTTTGTTACTTCTGCTATATATGAAAGATATTTATTAAAGTTGATTCTTTCAGACTCATGTTTATTATATTCAACCCATGGTGAAGAGAACTGAAGCCTGTGTTGGTCTTTGTTTGCGAAGTCTTGTTATTGATTTATTGATTTTTATTTATTTTTTATTAAATTTTTTTAAATTATTTTTTTTTAGAGTGAGACAGCGAGGGACAGTGTGAGCAGAGGAGAGGCAGACACAGAATCTGAAACAGGCTCCAGGCTCTGAGCTGTCAGCACAGAGCCCGATGTGGGGCTCAAACCCATGAACGGTGAGATCATGACCTGAGCCAAAGTCGGACGCTTAACCAAGGAACCATCCAGGTGCCCCAGTGAAGTCTTTTCACATGCTTCTTCAGGATTCCTCTTAGGAAGGGGGCAAATTTGCCTAATGGAGACCTTATCTTCATAAAGAATGAAAATTATTTCCTAAAATTTAGGAATTACCTCCTTAAGGCACGTGACTTTAAAAAAAGGTTTTTAAAATGTTTTCATTTATTCTTGAGAGATAAAGAGACAGAGCACAAGCAAGGGAGGGGCAGAGGGAGAGGGACACACAGAATCTGAAACAGGCTCCAGGCTCTGAGCCATCAGCACAGAGCCCGACACTGTGCTCAAATTTGTGAACCTCGAGATCATGACCTGAGTGGAAGGTGGATGCTCAACCGACTGAGCCACCCAGGTGCCCTAAGCATGTGACCTCTAAGAACAGTAATCATTATTTGCTGTGTTAACAATGCAAAGTAAATGAAACCTATCTTTTCAATGGTTCTTCTCTGTCCTAACCTGTCACTTTCCTTGTGACTCTTGATAGGACCCTAAGATAGACCAGATCTGAAGAACCCGTGTATGTTGTTTAGACCAGTGGTTCTCAAAGTTTTGTCCCTGGACAAGCAGCATCAGCATTACCTGGGAACTTCTTGGAAATGCGAATTCTCAGGTCCCACTCCATCATCTTCTGAATCAGAAATTCTTAGAAATAAAGCAGAGCATTCTGCCTTTTAACAAGCCATTCAAGCAATTCTCAAAACTAAAGCTCTGTGTTACTCAAAAGTAACCACTGCTTTAGAATGTGTTTGTAAAGTTACCATAGAAGTCTGATGACATCAACACAAGAATACACATATATTGAAATTTTTTGTAAGGTAATAAAGATAGTTAAAAGTTATTGGCTATGGGGTGCCTGGGCGGCTCAGTCCGTTAAGTGACTGACTTCGGCTCAGGTCATGATCACACAGTTTGTGGGATTGAGCCCCACGTCAGGCTCTGTGCTGATGGCTAGCTCAGAGCCTGGAGCCTGATTCTGTCTCCCTCTCTCTCTGATCCTTCCCTGCTCACACTGTCTCTCTCTCTCTCAGAAGTAAATAAAACATTAAAAATTTTTTAATGAAATTGTTGGCTGGATAATCTAAATTTTCATTCTATTTTATTCTTTATTAAAAAATATTTTGGGTTTGGGGCACCTGGGTGGCTCAATTGGCTAAACAGCTGACTTTGGCTCAGGTCATGATCTCACAGTCTGTGAGTTTGAGCCCCGCATTGGGGCTCTGTGCTGACAGCTCAGAGACTGGAGCCTACTTCAGATTCTGTTTGTCTGTCTGTCTGTCTCTCTCTCTCTGCCCCTTCCTACTCTCTCTCTGTCTCTGTCTCTCTCTCTCTCAAAAACAAATAAGCTTAAAAAAACTGTTTAAAAGTATTTTGGGTTTAAAATTTTATAGAATATAATGAGTCACCTTTAAGGCCATTTATGTTAGTGATTTTAAAAGAAATTTAAAACCATGGGGTGCCTGGATGGCTTAGTTGGTTAAGCGTCTGACTTTCGCTTAGGTCATGATCTCACGGTTCGTGGGTTCGAGCCCCGCGTCGGGCTCTGTGCTGACTGCCAGCTAGAAGCCTGGAGCCTGTTTCAGTCTGTGACTCCCTCTCTCTCTGACCCTGCCCTGCTCACGCTGTCTCTCTCTCTCTGTCTCCTAGAAATAAATAAACGTTAAAGAAAGAAAGAAATTTAAAACCAATAAAGGACCTGAATAGTATAGGAACAGCAAATAAAGACCAAGGGCACAGAAGCTTATAGTAAAATATCCTTTCTCTAGGAGAAGGTAGTCTAAGACCAGAACTATTCAATTTCTTGGCAGTGAACTGGGGAAAAGATACATGGCATTTTGTTCATTTTCTCTCTCCCCACTCTACTTACCTGTCAAGTATCCTTCAATGAGAATATTTATTAGGAAGGATTCATCATCAAAAGTTTTGTTGCACGTTTCCCTTTGTTGTTGTCAGTAGTTTTAATAATGAAGTGATTAGATTCCATTAGTAACCCATGGTGCAACAGAAAATACTGTCTTTGGCACCAATCACTTTGACAAAGGGGGAAAAAATCCCAAGTTTAGATTTCCGTTGCTTCTTTTTGTAGTAGAAGCCTTTTGGAGTTTTGCCCAGTCTTTTCCTGAGAAATGTCTGCCTCACCCACAGGCCTGAGGCCGGCAGCCATGTTTGAACGGTATGATCCTACCTCCTATCTCGTGGGCAAGACTGATTGAACCAGACGGATGTCTGACCCAAGGGAGCTCCTCTGTGGCTTTGCTGAAGTAATCGGGTCTCCATCAGGACCTGCAAACTCAACTCAGTCTTGGGTTTGTGGGCTGAGAGGTCGCTTCAGGGTTGAGGATTCTATGGCCATGTGTTTACTAAAAGAGAAAACACTGGACTGTCAAAGGAAATAAATATATGTAGAGGGAAGGAGAAAGGAGAAAATACTTGGCCCCGAAGAGAGAGAGAGAAAACAACTTTGGTTCTTATTTTCCAGCTTCAAATTGAGTTCCTTTCGAGGTATGGCTACCTTTTCAGTCTCGGGGGTCGTGAGTATCCTTCCAATACAATCTCCTCTTGGTTCTTGCTGGTTCAGGTGGCTTCTCAGCCCTGCCACCAAACATTTCCTGATCAAGATAGAACATTTTTTGTTCATGGGATCTTCTCCCCCAAAAATTGTATGTGGGAAAGCCCAGCAAATATGTCATCATTACTTCCTGATTAGCAATGTGCCTTTGTTAAAAATCCCTACGTTCTGAAGCATGGCAAATCAGAAAAGCCTTGTAAATCACTCATTTTCTTAAAATGCTTTATCGATGGTGACTGAAGCTCACAAAGATATTGCACGAGAGTCTGATTTCAGTAGAGGTCATCCATTTGTGTGAGTGGAACTCTATACACGTTAAAACCTTTAAACGTAATTTCTGATACCCAAAATCAGCCCGTAACACTTCTGAGATGCACAAATTCCTTGTGGCAGTTTTTAGAGGCCTCTTGCATGTGTTGTTCTCTCCAATCCTGATCTCTTAGAAATATGCTTAGGCAATATAGAAACACTTTAAAGATTTAGATGAGCAGCAGTAGGCAACAGTAATTATTTCAATTGTTTTTGTGGAGAAGGGACGTCCCTTACAAAGGTAGCCATATCATTTAGTGTTTACACACGAGCTGGTTGATACAGCATTCACTTTTTAAAATATTTACTTTGATTGCTTTTGAAAATACATGTTGCCTACAGAGGCTTATTAAATCAGAGAATATTAAAGACAATGATCTTATTACCTCAGAGCTCCTGTTTATCATTTGAAGTCTTGGCTTTGTTGATACAAAGCCATCCCCACTAAAAAACATCAAGGCGTTAACCTGCCAGCTAGCAAACCCATTCTACATATTGTAAAATACAGTGCATGTTTTCAGGAAGGAAAAAAGTATGTAAAACTCATACTAAATACTACTCAAAATGAAAGTGAGATACAGCTGACTTTGATCAGAGATGAAGAATAATCCTTGGAAACTATATATGCACAAAGATTGCAGGGAAAAAATCTAGTCATGGCTTCATGTGTCCTTTTTAGCTATTCTGTTTAGTTCTGACTCCTTGGGAATGGCAACTGATGGTAAATTTGTTTGCTGAGATTAGTAACAATGACGTTTTCCCCTACAGACTTGCTTCTCTGCCCGGCAGCTGGTGGAGATATTTCTACAGAACAGCCTTTCACCCATTTCCAAGGAAGACTTTAAGCAAATGAGTCCAGGAATTATCCAGCAATTGCTCAGCTGTTCTTGCCAGCTGCCTGATGACCAACATGCAAAGCGGCCACCAACCACTCTGGAGAGTAAGTTGTGGTTCCTCCCTGAGAAAGTTGGTGTCCATAATGTATGTAATAATAGTGAACAGCAAGTTGGTGCCTATAAGGTATGTAATAATAACAGTGAATGGAAAGTTGGTGCACATAATGTACATAATACTAACAGTGAATGGAGGATACTTATTACATACTTGCACTGTTCTAAGCATTTTACATTTCTCAACTCATTTAATCCTCACAAGTGCACTATGAGCTAGCTAACATCATTTCCCCCATTTTACAAATAAAGAAACAGGTACAAAAGAAAAAAAAGAAAAAAAGAAAGAGGCACATAGAGGTTAAGTGACTTTCCCAAGGACACACAGCAACTAAGTGACAGAGTTGGGATTCACACCCACGCAATCTGGTCCTGGAGTCCTTGTTGTCAGCCACTAGCCTGTATTACCCTTCATTGAATTTTTTATATTTGTATATACATTATATACATTGATTTTTGTTCCATATGTATGGGATATATTTGTCCCATATATGTGACTCAGCTATGGACCAACTTAGTTCATAGGTGAGAAGTGGCATGATATAAGAGAAAGAAAATTAGCGATGGGATCAGAAATGCAAAATTGAGCCACACCTCCTATCCCCACCGAGCTCTATGATGTTAAGCCATCTCTTTATTTCCCTGAGCTTGTCTTTTTTTCCTGCACAGTTGGAAAGCAGCATTATCACTCAAGGCTTCCCATCCTTTCACACATCATGACACACACAAAAAGTGAAGGCACTTTGGCTTTGGGGTAAACCAAAGAGCTTCTCTGAGATAGAAGTGACCATGGAGGAAAGGGCCAGCCTCCCAGACCCGGCCAGCACCCCCAGGAAGTGAAGGGTTGATATTTGCATTCACCTGTAGTCCACTGAATCACTGCGGTGGGTGAGCTCTACAGCCTCATGGGGTAGCTGGAAGTTTCATGGGATAATGTGTACAAAACTGTGTTGTGGAATTTAAAGCACTGTATATTTAAAAGAAAAGAAAATAATCACCTAAGAATATTCATAGTGATAAGACAGCAAAAATGTGACAGGAACACATACACCATTCAAAATATTACCAGGGATCTGAGGGCCTTATAGATGCTTTTTCAGAGCATTTTGCCTTCTCTTCGAGATAGCCTCATGCTGCCCATCAGGGATGAATTGTCCAGCTACTCACCTCTACCTCACAGCGAATTGTGCATTATTTGAAGATTTTATGTGAACAAAAACCTGCCAGACCTAAATATCTAAGACTCCACATTCACTAAAAGAAAAAAAGTGTCATTAGTGAGGAGCTAAATAATTCAGCACCTGGTGGTCAGTGACGGCTCTGAAATGGGTAAGGGGGAACAGAATCATGGCATCTAGGAACCTCCATGAGCAAGTTTACATTTACATCCCCACCACCTGGCATGGTGTCTGCTACACACAGACCACTGCAAAATAGCTTTCTGAACTGAACATCTGTGGATATTTTTTCTCTCTCATGAGCATGCAGCCCCTTCTGGGCAATAGCCTTCCTGAGAAAAATTCAGAGAAATCATACTCACGATGGGAACTAGACAAACATTACTGTGCTCCATTTGAAATGTTGCATTATGTAACTTAAGAGAAAGGCTTAAATAAAAGAAAATGTAAGAAGAGCAAGGCAGAGACGCTCTGTATTAAGAGTAGTGTTGGTGTGTTGGAATCTGGCCCCAAAGTTCCAGATTGGGTTGGGTTTCCAGGAAAGAGTGCTATGGTCACATATAAATCAGGTTTCAGATCTGTTCAGAGTAGCTGTGCAAGAACGGCTATGTTTTTAATTATTAGGTCAAGTTCTATTGTAATGATGGGAAACATTTAAATAGAAACTCTCTAAGTTGTCTGACTCCAGTTAAGATGCCATGACACCTTTATGAGGACCTGGGGTAATTAGCAGAGTCCTGTGGCCACAAACGTCAGATTTTATGGCTTTCAGGCTGTCTTTGCCACATGGGAGCAGGTGAAATCTGATTCACAGAGGACCTAAACAGATCTCTAAGCTCTAGAGTTAGGAAATATCCATTCTCCTCCAATACCACGCTGTAGATGCTCTCAGAACAAAGGGGAGAGGAATAGAAGAAGAATCAAAGGACTGGAAACTTTGCCTTTTGCCTGGGAAATGCCACACCCTAACTTACCCTTGTGAATGCTCAACATTTTCTGATCTTTTGTAGCTTTCATAAAAATGTGGCAACTTTGAAATTTATTAGACATCCAGGTGCTTATGTTAAACTTCAAATGTCCTTCATGTATATATTCAGTGAGAAGAATGACATTCCCCCATAGACCCTATTTATGGAAGAGGATGATATGAACCTTGGTTAAATATATCCAGGGATGTTTTTATAACATAGGTATTTTTATGAAAACAGAATAAAATAAAACCTTTCAGTGAGTACATAACGATTCCAAACCATTTTTAATATTTTTAATGGTTTATTTTTTTAAGTTTATTTGTTTATCTGGAAGGAGGGGATGGGGCAAAGGGGCAGAGAGACAGGGAGACAGAGAATACCAGGCAGGCTCCATGCTGTCAGCACAGAGTCTGACACAGGGCTTGAGCCAAAATCAAGAATTGGACGCTTAACTGGTAAGCCACCCAGGTACCCCTATTTTTAAAATTTTTAACTGTGGTAACAAGTTGAAATTGAAATGAAGTTTAACTATTCTTAAGTGAGTGGTTTAGTAATTTCACATTGTTGTGCAATAAATTTCTAGAACTTTTCAGCTTGTAAACCTGCAATTCTCCATCTTTTGAACAATGACTGTTTTATAGAGAGGTTCCCCAGAAGTGAAGGGGTAGTGATAAGAATAGGAAAATTAAAATGTGAAAGTTTTTTTGCTTCTTTTGAGGACACAAACAACTCTATTTTAATATTAGGCTGCTGCATAATTTAGAGCATATAATTCAATAAAATTTTTCTTAAACTCACAAGCCTATTATCATGTTACCAGCTTTTATCATTTACACAAATTAATGTAGAGGGTGAACCTTCCAGAAAAGTATAAGAATGATAAGAATAGAATCTTTTCCATTATAACAAATTTTAAGATGATAGTTTCCTAAAATCTACAACAGGCTTTAAATAGTATGATAACTAAATTGTTTGCTTTAACTTATCTGTAGTCAGTAAAGGATCGTTTAATTTTGTCAAAACTTTCTTCATTGTTTACGGACCAATTTGTCATGGCTTGGTAGCCATTTCTAAATAAGTAGAAGACAGAGTATTTCCTCTGAGTATCTGCAACCAAAGGAAAATGGTAGCCTGAAAAATTCTTTATCCCCAAATCATTTAAATGATTTATTTATGCAGGTAACCCTTGAGCGTCATGGGTTTTAATGGCAGGGGTCAAGATTTATTTATATATAGTACAGTAATGTAAAACTTCAAAGCAAAAAGGTTAATGGTGAAAGTCTTTTCATTCTTTTCCTTAAAAATTAAGATTTTTAGGGTGGCTCAGTCAGTTAAGCAGCCGACTCTTGAATTGGGCCCATGTTGTGATTTCACCATTTGTGGGATTGAGCCCCACATCGGGCTCTGTGCTGACAGTTGAGATTGGGATTCTCTCTCTCCCCTTCTCTCTGCCCCTCCCCCCCCTCAGAGCTTGCTTTCAAAATAAATAAATAAACATTTAAAAAAAAAAAAAAAAGAACATTTAAGACCTTTTGCACACTAAAACACTCATAAAACAATTCCGTATCCCCATCTAACCTGTATGGTTAGATGGATTCTTCTGGTGTTTTAGCCGGCCAGGGCACTGCTAGCGGATGATGAGCACTGACTGCTTTGCAATGTCTGTTTGACTTAGAATATGGCTACAGCACAGTGGCCGTGGCCCTGCTCACACTGGGCTCCATGCTTGGGACAATGCTGATTCTGTTCCACACCTGTGAGGAAAACTACAGGCTTATTCTGCAGCTGTTTGTGGGTCTGGCTGTTGGGACGCTTTCTGGGGATGCCCTGCTCCACCTTATCCCTCAGGTAACTCTTTTCCTGTTCGCAATGGCCTGTTTCTCATTTCCATTTCCATTTAGTCACTGAAGGTGTTGATACAAAATTTCAAATTGACGTGGACGAGTCAGTACAGTGGCCAGTGTTTTCCTTGGCAACAAGTATAATTTCCCCAACGCACTTACAGGGGAAAAGAGATAACCATGCCTCAGGTTTACCACATGTTATTCTTATTTTTTATATAAGCCCAAAAAGGTGATCAGATGCAGATTCCTATTAAGAAAAGTTCAGAAAGTTTTCACTAATGATCTGTTAACAAAAATGAATGGGTTACAAGATGATGCTCTGAGTTTCCTGTAATTGCCCCCAAGTCTCCTCAGACCCCTTCCCTGCCCTCTCTGCTGTTTTTTTTTTTTTTTTCTGCCCCAGAAGATTGTGCCTCCTCAGCTCCCTTGCAGGCTACATTGTTGTTTGGATTGAGATGGTGGAAGGCACAGCAGAAAAGCTAGGGTAGGAGGAGAGAGTAGCAGGGGTATTTCTTCCTTACTCTCTCCTGGCTCTGCACCTGCTCTAGGTGATTACCAGCTGATTACCTACAATATTACGGCTCTGGGGAAGCCCTTCCAACCTCTGCCCTTTCTGCCCGAAGAGTAGAAGTGGTTTTCTGGGGTTATCGCTTCTGGGCACCTCATTATCCCTGTACCTGCCCTTGCTGCTCACACCTCTACCATTACACCATCATTAAGCTCTCCTCATTTGAACCATCAAAATGAATTTCTTTTTTTCTTTTCTTTCTTTCTTTCTTTTCTTTTCTTTTTTTTTTTTGCCTGCTAACATCTAAATTTTCCTTAAGAAAAATGTAAGCCTCAGTAGGCTGGCTCTTTGCTGAAGTTTTCTGAGGCTCTTTACTTGTCAAAAATGAAAGGCCCATGACTTGAGATGCAAGAGCTCAGGCAGAAGGGTCTCCAGACGAAATTATTTCTTCCCTCTGAAATCTCTTGAGATGGACAGTGATGAGCAAATGCCTCCCCCCTCCCCCTGGCAAAGCCAGAGATGTTAAAAATTTCCACAAGCCTCTGGCAATTTCCTACAGGGTCACTCTTATTGCTCAGAGGCTCAGTGATTATTAGATGTTCTGAAAAATCACAAAGTGGGCATTGGAAAATGAAACAAACCATTATTTGTTTTAATTTCCCTTGTAATCTAATTTTCTGGAAATATTTCAGGGCTTATTGGCTGGAGGCAGTGGCCGAGGCTTTTTTCTAGGTCCCTTTAGTGATTGCAGAGCTGTTTGCTGCCCATGATCCTGCAAAACAGTGGAAGGGTCTCAATGCTTCCACACCTCCCCCAGCGGGGGGGGCTCACAGCTCCCGGCACCTGGGGGAGGGGTGTGGGGCTGTCAGCTGACTCTGCAGAGACACATTCCAGATAGAACCTTAAAAGATTAGCCAGGTTTCATGAAAATTAGAAGGCAAGTGTTTTACTTGAGGGAAGAGATACGGACAAGTCACTGAGGAAAGGAAGAACGATGTGGTGGAAAGGTAGAAAATCAGTGGTTCCTGAACGTGATCTGTGGCCAGGATTCAGAAGGCTACATGGAAATGAGAAAAATACCACTGTCATGATTTCTTGTTTTTTTTTTTTTTTTTAACGAGCACAATTCATTCAACTTTAGGGTTGACGTGTTGTTCTGAGATCATGGGGTTTTCTTCTGTGTTGTTTTGTGACCTTACCGTGTCCCCTATTTTGTGAAATAATGGTAATTACAAATATTAGATGGGTATCCTTTACAATGCCTTTCTTTACCAAAAGGAAAAGTTGACTAATGTATATGGGTTTTTAGTTAGGTTCATAAACTTGTTGTATATACTTACATACACACAGATACTCACACATGGACTCATGTCCACAAGCACATATATACACATAAATGTATGCATGTATGTATGAACACATGTACATACAATATGTATGCATGGAATCATTTTCCTTTTTTTTTTTTTTTCTCAATTTGATGGTCACTAACATCCTAAATGGAGAAACCACTGAGCTGTTTCCAAACTGCCTTCTCTTGGGGAGGGAATATGATACATAATGATTACTCGCTCCCAAGAAATCATGAGGTCAACCAATGAGATGAGTCAACTTGAGGAAAATTCCTAATGCATTTCATGTATCCTTTGTTTCTCAGAGAGCTGGCAGTACTGCTGGTGTACAGTCTACACTCAGTGGAAGATACGTTTCAGGCGAATTTTTACCTGATCAGAACATTTATTAAAAGTTTTCTTTGATTGCAATGGGGTGCAGGGAGAGTAAACCCTGGATGAAATGTATCTTTATATTTCCTCCGGATATAAAATACATTGATCTGTTATTAAAGACTTGCTGTGCAAACAGGTATGGATTGAACCCCTAGGAGAAGAAAAAAACTAAGAATATTTGAAAATTTAGGCTACTTGGTAAATAAGCTCAGGCTCTCCAGTGTTCATTAGCAGAAGTTATTTAAAGTTCTCCTTTCTTTTCCCTTGTGGACATTTGATGTGACCCTGATTAAATCATCTAGTGGAAGTATGCATACAACTAAAAGCAAATGTGGCTTTGAATGATTCTAGTGGTTGTCAGGGGGTTCCCCAGAATGAAAGGTGAATATATTTAATACCGTGCCTATTACTTAATACTTAAGTCCTCTACAGGCAATTCTTTCTGTCTCCTTTTTGTGTCTGTTTTTGTTTTGTTAAAGGTGCTTGATTTACATAAGCAGGAAGGCTCAGAGTTTGGACATTTCCATGAAAGCAAAGGTCATATTTGGACACTGTTAGGATTAATTGGAGGCATCCACGGACTTTTCTTGATAGAAAAATGTTTTATTCTTCTTGTATCACCAAATACCAAGGTATATTTTAAATTTTATTCATCTTCTGCTTTAGGGCTTCATACCGTTCATCTTTTTACTTCAAAAGTACTTGTTCCAAAGTGGTTGATGTCTTTATGAAGTTCTCTATGTGAGGGATGGGACTCTGATTTCCAGTCATTCTGACTGGCATCTTCCCTATAAGTATGGTTATTAACTTTTTAAACATCTGTTGCTGGCTTGTTAAGGTACTTGTTAAAACCTGCTATTTGACGTTCATGGCTACTTTAGATACCGGAGACCATTTCATGTCTGGAAATGAAGGGCTGAAAGGCCTACCTACTAATCAGTGTTTTGCATGTCTTTCCTAACCAAAAACAAATAAATGTGGAGACAAAAACTTTGAAAAATTCACAAAATTACCCATCATTTTCGATCCTAAGACCATTGAAAATTATACAAACAAAAACAAGGAGCTCAGAAATGGGATTTGTGGCAGAGCCTTTTTGTTTGGCTTGAACAATTGCTTCTTTTGTGCCTCTATGTGGTCAATTTCTGTGTCTGTGATGAAATGTAAAGTGCCATATGTTTTTTTCTTAATGGATTTGTTTTGCTCCTACACATTATCCTATAAGACAGTAGATGAACTGTCTGGTGGGTTGGTTAAAAAGGTAAATGCTTGCACACAACTCAAGGAGACCAAAAATAAAGTAAATTTCCCTTACAAAGCCCTGGAGTTCCGCAGTTTGCTGTGGTTCTGTACGTATTTTCTGGCTTTTCCTACCTGTTCATATAATTTAATATGTCTGTGCCCAGGAAAAGCGTTAGTAGTCACGTAAAATATCAGCACTTGTTTATTGTTATTCCTAAATTTATTTGAGGTTCAAAGGCTGTGCGTCAAAAAATAAGATGGTGTTATGGATGGAGAGAGGGATGATAGATGGATAGATAGGTGGTGAAATGGCTTTAGTAAATGGCAATGGTAGGATCTTGGGAAGGAGTATCTGAGTGATCACCTTACAGTTCTTTCAGCCTTTCTGGGTATTTGAAGCTTTTCACAGTGAATAAACAAAATGCTGTAGAAATGTTCTTTTTTCATGAAGCAAGGATTTTCTTTGTCCTGGAGCTCATGCTGGGGCGCTATGGTAATTGAGAAATTAGGAACACCAGCATTGACCACAATCCCTACCCTGCACATTCAACAACTCAGCCTCCTCAAAAGGGGTTCTAACCTCAACAAGCACAAAAGAAAATAACAGATCCCGTTTGTACACAACAGATTAGTGTTCTTAGCCTGGGAAAACGAAATGACAAAGCCAACCATCGACTTGTATGTGATGATTAGAAATTTAACGAGGGTGGAAGGGAGTGAAATAAATTCTGGACATCCAAACATGTAAAGTTTTTTCAGATTGTGCTTGGACTTGTCAGAGAACTTAAAATAGTGTTTAAGAACACATCTCAAGACTCATCATATTGAGTAAAATAAAGGGAATATGAATATTTTAGAAGGTACAAGTGGTTTAACTATGAATGTGTTTCTAAAGGTATTAATTTCATTGTTATAGGGTGTAATATAGTTTCAGTTATATCCTTTTGGTATCTCCAGCAGAAAGAATTCAAAATTTAATTTCATAGTAAATATAGTTTTTCAGTAAATACAAAAGACAATATCAAAACTACCACTGTTCAAGTCTTTTAAAATCATAACTGGAAATATTTAAAGTTTCATTCTCTTTTTTGTTTGAAGATTTAAAAAAATTTTTTTTAAACATTTTTTTATTTTTTGAGAGACAGAGCATGAGTGGGGGAGGGGCAGAGAGAGAGGGAGACACAGAATCTGAATCAGGTTCCAGGCTCTGAGCTGTCAGCACAGAGCCCGATGTGGGGCTCGATCTCATGGACCACGAGATCATGCTCTGAGCCAAAGTCGGACACTTAACCGACTGAGCCACCCAGGCACCCCTAAAGTTTCATTCTTAAGGCATTCAGAATATTCGCGATGTTTCAGAGCAGTCCCGTGCTTCCCCAAGGTGAGACATTTTAGTGTTTACCACGATGAAATGCCTTCTCGTGTGCTGCCCTTCACTTTGGCCAATAAGCCAAATGTTAAATAGAACCATGGAATTGACAGAGGCTGCACCTGTGTTCTTCTGGCTTCAGCACTAATTTTAAACCGTCTTCCTCCAGCAGGGCGTGTCATTGGTTAATGGGCGTGGGGAACATTCCCACCACCTTGCACTCAACGCTGAATTAGGCGACCAGTCAGGCAGAGACAAATCTGCTTCAACTATCCAGTTGGTAGGTTACCGATCTGAGGTATTCTACTGATCTGATTACCTTCTTTCCTTTATTCCTTAATGAACAGATGACAGATTAAAAACAAAAAAAAAGTCCACCCCTGATCTGCCTGTTCTGAACCATGATAAGTAGTTTGAGAAACTTTGCCAAGCACCTGAAAGCTGTTTTAAACAGTAAAAAGCTTTTCCGCAGATTCAGACCCTTGGTACCCGCACCACTTTGAAGCATATATGATTAGATTGCATAATATATATCTTGATCATTTTGTTTGTAGGGTTTTCACAAACCAGTTGACTTCCAGGTTTTCCACTCTGAGTAGTCCTTAGCCATGACCAGATGGGGCCAAATAAATGGTGAGCAAGGAAGTAGCACAGCTAGTGTGGTAGGGTCCCCTCCCTAAGGAAACAAACAAGCAAACAAACAAAGAAACCCTAAAATAACAAAACCTCAAAGTAACCTGGCTGTGCGCACGTGACAATAGCCCTCATGACCTTGTAACGTGAGACCACTTCATTAGACTACATGTTTCTGTGTGTTACCAAATATGGGAGACAGATAAAGAGAAAATATATTTAAAAACTATGCCACGTGGCGTTGGGGGCTCATTTCTTCAGGTACGATCACAACTGAGCGGGGCCGGCAAGAATAAAGTTGCTTCCCGGAAAGAAAAGCCTCGGTGTCACGACTCTGAGAGAATCCGGCTGCTCTAGGCGTGGGGTGATCATTTTGTACTGCAGAAAATAATTGATTCTGCCCCACAAGATGTCTCAGAGGTGGCTTCTCTTACACTGAGTTTTCCAGGGCAAATATTCCATGCAAATTTGCAAAACACAACCTCCAGTCGGGTTCAAACCAATGCTCCCATTCTGATAATTCTCTAAGTAACAAGCAAAGGGGCAGGAAGAATATGAAAGTAACATGTAACAGTTCTAACTGTGGCCGTTGGAGGAAGGGTTTACAGTTCAAGAATAGAGTCCTGACCCAGTGGAAATGAGTAAGCTGTGCCTGAGACACTGCCCCAGCAACAGAAGTCTGCTGGTAGATCACAGATCTAGAACTGACTCAATTATGAACAAAACCGTCCCTTTGAAAAAGTGACTTTGAAAACCTTTATTATGTTTATGGCTTAGGTACTTCGCATATGGCTTGGAAGAAGGTAATTTCAGGCTGAGATTAGTTTTAAAATCAGTTTCATGCTGATTTTATTCCTTCTGTTTCAATGAAGGGCTCAGAATCCTGAGATCGATATAAATAAATCTCTGGTGCTAACCTTATGAGTTTTGAACTATTTGAATATGCCAGCTCACTAATACCACAGTCACTATTCCTTTGGTTATTTTAGCTGCAAGATCAACTTTAAGTGAATAGAAATAATACGAACTTTTAAGACTGATTGGTTCAAGTTCATGGTTTTTCAGGAAGCAGGAGAACTCATAATTCTCACCAATCAAGGCATCTTGGATGCTTGCCTCTAAATTCCTTTACATAGTATATAGTTTTGCGTGGGAAAACCTAGAGTAAATATATTTGAACTCCTGTCTTTTAATTATAACCAGGCTTTTGATATAATGTAAAAAAAAATCACATTTGCTTTCTTGTTCACTCTTACCCTGTGTCCTTCAGTTCCTACCTTACTTCTCAGCCACTTATCCAAACATTGCTCATTATTATATGTTTTGAGTAGCGGCTACTGTTCCCCTATGTGAAAGATAAGTTTATTTTCTCTGTTTTACATTTTTTAAAAAGGTGCTTAGGCCCCACATTAAACATGGCTCAACATTTTCACAACTTTGGGTGATAGAATTATGTAAATATGCATTTATTTTTTTAAGTTTATTTATTTATTTAAGTAATCTCCACGATCAACGTGAGGCTTGTATATATAACCCTGAGATCAAGAGTCACACCCTCTTCCAACTGAGTCAGCCAGGTGCCCCAGTAAATATTGCTTTTAAAAGGTCATGTTCAATAGGATAGTTTTCCCTCGCTAGCCAAACAGAGCATTTTGAAGAAACCTTTGTAAGCCAAAATGGTATAAAATGAAGAAGCAGTTACCATTCATTTATATGGAAAAATTTGTGAGCATTCCCAGTCCCCCAAAATAACCTCTCTTAAGACTTTTTGATACCTGGGGGGCACATTTGGCTAAGAGGTGCACAAAATAAATCAAAATAAAGCACAGGGGTGCCTGGGTGGCTCTGTTGGTTAAGCACCCGACTCTTGATCTCAGCTCAGGTCTTGATCTCAGGGTCGTGAGTTCAAACCCTGTGTTGCTCACCACACAACGTAAAAACAAAAGCACAGATGCTCACAGATACAGAACAAAGGTCTGGTGGCTTGATGCTGAGATGCTGAATGGAGTTCCCGGGAAATGAGCTTGGGGAGCCACTCACTGGTGGGGCCCACGCTGCCACTGTAGGCTTGTTGCAGAATGAATGCTGAGTGCTATTTTGTGCCTTTGGCTTTTTTTCATAAAAGCAAAAACCCTCTTTGGACTTTTTTCAGTTAGTGGAAACGGGTACTAATGTAGGTTTTTCATAAAAGCGACCTGGCATAATGTGAACTTAAGAAAAGTGAGGACTGCCTGTGAAAAGTATTCTTTTCACATAATAGAATGAGAATAGGAGGCACAGGGATGGAAAGTGACTTTCCTGATGCGTGAGTCAGTCTCTAAAATAAAATCACATCATATTAACTCACAGAAGTCAGTTTCAAAATCTAACCTCTCTGTCGTATGAAAGGATAAAAAAATCTTAATTTATTATATTTTTTTGTAAGTCTGTTGATTTGCTTTCTTTGTTTAATGTTTATTTATTTTTGAGAGAGAGAGAGACAGAGTGCTAGTAACAGGAAGGATAGAGAGAGAGGGAGACACCGTATCTGGAGGAGGCTCCCAGCACAGAGCCCGATGCGGGGCTTGAACCCACAGACCATGAGATCATGACTTGAGCTAACGTTGGACTCTTCACTGACAGAGCCACTCAGGTGCCCCTGTTGATTTGCTTTCTTAATCAACAAGATTCTTTTACTCACTGGCAAAGCCCCCGAAAGAGAATATTTCTCCATCACAAGTAATGTGAGGCATGGGGTTTGCATGGGTTTGTTCTCTATCCACAATACACGATGTGCTAAGAGATCAGAAAATGAATCCTAGACCCACAGTCCACCACACAGGAGAAGTATCAAATTAGGTCAAGAATCAAGAGCTGTTTCTTTCTACAGCTTTTGGATTTCACAAAGGCTTACATAATTTAAGAGCCTGGATTACAGACTGTCCCTGTAGCCTCTAGCTCTGTATGGAGACAATTTACTATTTTCATCTAAAGGCACATAGTGCCACAAGTTTGCTCACAAACCTCCAGCTTTACGTTCTAGGCTTGCCTGTGAAATTTCAAAGTTGTGCTGTATTCTGGGGTGTTAAAATGTTTAAAAACCAGCATAACTGTCCAGATATTTCCATTTTACAATAAAATGATGGCCACTGCTAATCTCTCACTAGTTATTTTTTCATTTAAAATAGAAAGGCCCAGAAGATTCACAGGCAGCTGAAATTCCTGTAGGCAATATGACCGCCTCCAGCCAAAAATGTGAGTACCATTGGTAAAGAGCTAAACTTTAAATGTAGAAAGTACCACAGAAAAAAGTTTATGTCTGTTGGGAAACAGTGTGTTGAAATCATATAGGTTTCTCATTGAGTTTGTTTTTCATTATTACAGCCTCTATGAGAAAATGTTTAATACTCATTCTTATCCATCTTTCACACATGCTACGCGTTAACATCAACTTTATTCTTTAAAAATGATGATTTCCTAAACTATTTGAAATTGATCGTCTGAGACCCGCAATTAGTGTAGATTCATATGTAGTTATCAAGGCTTCTTTAAAATCATGAGCATGGCACTAATAAGGTATAGACGTGCAGAATCATGATGTAGTGCCCTGACGTTAATGTAGCAATGTGTGTCGACTAAATGTCAATTTAAAAAATCCATGCTTACATGATAACGGAGCCTTTTGCTTTGCTATGAAGTCTGGAAACTTCTATCACAGTCTGCTGAAACTAAGCACAGATGTCTGTCTCATGTGGGATGCCATGGAGATAGAGTTCCAATGAGTGATAACTGATCAGTCACATCTTATTCTACATCTCACTCATTCACATAATTTTCAACCAGATTTTTTCTAAGGTTTTCTTTATTCGTGAATTTAATGTACCCATTTTGTATACAGCTTTCTTCCTTTTCATTTGTTTCTGAATGATTTTCCAAATGTTTTTGGTCTCTTGTGGCTTTTGTCACCTGCTTCCACAACTCTGCCCCACTTTTCTCACTGATACTACCCTTTTGTGACACAAATTTCTCCATGTTTTAATATTACGCAGTCATGATTAGTTATTCCCATACTACCATAGTAGATTTGTTACTAATAAAAATAGCTAACATTATATGCCAGGCATCGTGCTCAGTGCATCATGGATTATTTTATTTAATACTCCTATAACTTAATGAAGTAAGAGCGATTATTAGCCTAGTTAAACAAATGGAGAAACCAGTAGTTAGAGAGGATAAGTTCCTGTCCAGGATTACATACCAGGAAGCTCCAGTACCGAGTAACTAAGGAATGTGGATGGACCGACAATTTTGATGTGGTCATTCGTGCATGCATTTCTCCACATCTTTCCTCACACTCTTTCATTCACTCAAGAAATGTTTGAAGCTGCACTGTTTTTCAGGGACTGTGCATGCGCTGGAGAATAAAATAAGAATGGTCTTTATCCCTGGTTTGCAATCTGGTTGGGGATATCAACGCTAAAAGAACAAACACGACTGACGATCACTATTTTAAATGTGTTATACATACGTACTTCTGTAATTTATTTCTTTGATTCAAAATATGTAATCATGGGGTCTGTCCAATTCTGCTTTCAGGACATTGCTACATATATTTTTCCTTCTAAATCTGTAGTTCCAGGAGAGATTTTACAATGCCTGGTACCTAGTAGGGATGCAAGAGACATTTCTTCACTTACTGTCTTTTTTTTTAAATTTTTTATGTTTTTTTTTTTAAATTTTTGAGAGAGAGAGAGAGCACAAGTAGAGGCAGAGAGAGAGGGAGACACAGAATCTGAAACAGGCTCCAGGCTCTGAGCTGTCAGCACAGAGCCCAACGTGGGGCTCGAACTCACGAACCGCAAGATCATGACCTGAGCTGAAGTCAGATGCTTAACCGACTGAGCCACCCAGGCGCCCCTCATTTATTGTTTTTGAAGAAAAGGAAGAGGAAAGAAGAAAACTCCCAGGCACCTTAGGAGTGGGGTGTCAGATGCTAGATGCGGGTGTGACAATGGTCCGATCCGAGTATTTTGGTGGCCTCATATCTTTCCACTTCAGATAGCAAGCTTGGCATTCAGAATCAACAGTGAACAAATCCAAATTTGATTACCCAACTGCCCTTTTTCCAGGGACATATTGAATTAGCTTCAAATATTTGATTACTTGTTTCACATTACCTCATTGGTGGAACTCAGCTTGTGTTTCAAAAGACAGGATGTGAAAATTCTACCCACAGCCTGATTTAAATAAACAAAAAGCAACATGATACAAGGTCCGGCCCATGTCTCACCCCGGAAAACCTCTGATAGCTTAGAAACATAGAAATGAATATGACTGCCAGCTATATAAGCCAAGATAAAATATTATTGATAATTCTGGAATAAGTACATTAGATTACCAGTGAAGGCTTGTCTGACCTCCCACTGAATAATATTTAAGTTACTTTAAACAATGTGTACAATTGCCTTCCTTGGGGCTTATATGCAAATATGTCTGTTTACCTTGCAGCTTATTACATGTCCATGATCTGACATTTAGAAACCCATAATCAGAGAAAATAAAATAATAAGACAACAAAAATAGGCCACACTGTTTCTCAGCAGAATATAAATTGAGTAAAAAATTTCCATTTGAGTATATGCCACTCGTAACAAAACTACATATGAGCACATGGAAATCACAATTTGTTTGCATGCTGCCATGTTGCCAGATGTATTGCCCTGAATTGTTTTATTTTCACAAAGAAGAGCTTTATTGCTGAAAATTGGCAGGAACCGCACCGCGACCTGGTAAGATGATTAAATTCTGAGAGCTTCCAGGCCATGCCAATAAGAACTCCCTGAATTCAATAATTTGATATTTATTCTGTGCTTTCATGACGGTTGCCTGAAACCTCCTCATTTTTAATGAAGAATAAAATGAATTAGTGAGCCACAAGTAGGATCTAAGTTAGTCTCACAGTGATAGCTGTAAATAAGGCATGATTGTTAGAAGTGAAATGCGTGGGACATCTCTGCACGGCAGTCAGTAGTCTTGTTTCCTGCCCAATAATCTGGACTATATCTACTGTTTACTTGACCGAAGTTACTTATGGGTGGGATATGAAATGAGTCAGACCGTATTCCCTAATTATTAGAATATTGTATTCAGTTCTAACAGCAACAACAGCTACTGCTTACTGTGGGCACTCAGTGGGGAGCAACCGAGTAATTAATGAACTTTTAGACCATGGAAATTGATTTGAATGGCCTCTTATTCTCAAAAGGTAGGCCTAGGTGGCTTACTGTCAGAATAAGTGTTGTCCCCACAGTATTATTTGAATTTATTAATTGTTCGATTTCATTATGGGGTTGTACTGATACGCACTTTGAGGTTTTTGAAAATAGAAATTCTGTGTTAAAAACTTGAAACCAATTACAATCTAAAATATTTCGTTAATTATTTCATTGACTCTCTACTAATTAGATAATGTGTATTATGGAATAGAACCCCATGAAAACAGCTTCTCTTTATTTTATTCACTGTCCAGCTGGTCGAGTACTGAAAGTTACTTTCCAGAAAGACAAGAACATTAGCTAATTGTTCCAAAGCTAATTTGGGGGCTAGCCGAGTTGATAGGGGTTCTGTCATGGCTACAGGGCTGGAGAGGGAACAAAATACTTCAAGAGGGTCATGAGCGCCAACCCGAAAGGGAAGCAAGGAGCAGAAAATAGCAGTACAGGGACAGTCTGGCCCAGAGGAGACCATTTTGGAAAACAGCCTCCACTTTAATGACCCTCTGCAAGGAGGGTCTTAAATTATTTTAAGGCGCTTTACAGAAGATGCACATGGAAAGGTCTTTGGTGGGATTTTGGAAGGTTATAACAATATTATTTTTATTTTTTTCTTTGGCGTTAGCTGAACAAGGTGAGAGAATAGTGAATGCCAAGGTCTAATGTATCTCGTGACTAGTCAAAGCCATTAGAAAAACAATGACCACACAGGCAAATGTGTCACTGACTAGTTTGCATCTCCACTCCTGGCTTATTTTGAATGCAGAAAATGGGGTTGCTTCATTTGAGGCAATCTAAGAATGTCAAGGGTATGGGAAAGTTGGTTGTGTGGGAAGGGCTCCATGATCTATCTAGTGCCCTGTTCATGCTTTCTCACACCTTTGTTTGGTTCTTCAGACAAAACCATTAGCTTGTTAGCAGTCATGGTGCTGGTTGGGGACAGCCTGCATAATTTTGCAGATGGTCTTGTGATAGGAGCTGCCTTCTCGTCGTCGTCCGAGTCCGGAGCCATCACCACACTCGCTATCTTGTGTCATGAAATCCCACACGAAATGGGTAAGTCGCGTAGCAGGGGCACTGTTTCCTGCTTGTGGAGAACGCCACGGTGTTATTTCTGGCTATGGTCTGTAGGTGTCTTTTTCTAACATGCCCCTGAAAGATGAGTACTTTCCATTGATAATCTGTTTAAACAGTATGAGTAACACAACTAGGAAAAAAAAAGAATCTGTGCCTTGGGATACAATTCAGCTAGACTCTTGATGGTGTTTCCCAGGGTCCTAAGTCACGCTCTTTGGATTCTGGAGGGTTCTGTATGGGAGAAAGTCATTCAGAGAAGCCTCATCATTGTAAACGACTTTGGCAAAGACTTTAAAATCTGTATATTAAATGTGGGAAGAACGTTAAGAGGGGACCTTTACCCATTATGTCAGCAAACAGGCCAGTGAGATAAAATAACATTTAAATTAAAGCCACACCATGGTTTCATCAACTTGATTTATATAAAATGTCTAAGGCCAAGCATAAAATTGAAATGACAGGCGTATGGTAGCAGAGGCACGGGAGGCTCTTTTTCTGGAGAATCTTAATAGCCCCATAATTCAAATTCTGCCTCCCAGGAAGCCAGAGGAGATGGAATAGACATTTCTGAAACGGTCCCAGAAAGAGCAGAGGCTGACTCCTTCAACCTCTGGTGTTCAGTGTCCACTGTCCCAAATTCTGTCACCAAATCATCACCCATCCTTCTTTGAGCAGTGTATCCAAGGCCCTTCCTGAATCCATTAAAATGTCCCTGGCCCGGGTGCCCTAGACCATGGTCCTGCTTTTCACTTATTATTATTTTTTAATGGTTATTTATTTTTGACAAAGAGAGAGAAAGTGCGAGTGGGGGAGGGACAGAGAGAGAAGGAGACACAGAATCTGAAGCAGGCTCCAGGTTCTGAGTTGTCAGCACAGAGACCAACATGGGGCTCAAATCCCTGAACCGCAAGACCATGACCTGAGTGGAAGTCAGAGGCTTAACCAACTGAGCCACTCAGGTGCACCCCCTCACTATTATAATAAAACCGCAGAGGAGTGTGACAATCTGTGGCAGACCAGCAAAGACGGTTTAAGACCTGTTCGTAGGACCAGTTATGCCTTGGAACAAAGAAACGGAGCCCCCTGATGATTTATTGAATTTTAGTCTCTTCCCTGTCTCCCAAACTAAGAACTAGAGGCTCTCAGATTCAGAGGTGATTCTTCTTTGGGAGGAAAGGTGTGGAGAGAATAAGGTCATGTTTCTATAATCATCGAGGCAGCAAAACACTTTCTAAAGGAAAAGTTTGTTTTCCTAACCAACTCTGGCAATGGTTTTTAAATCTCCTATTAAGTAGCATTCTCTCCCCATAGCAGTTCTTACATAAGCAAATAAGAAAAGCCGATGTAACGGGATTTAGCCTGGAGAGTTTCCAGGCAAGAAGGTTTAAAAACCGTGGAACAAGGAAGTGCTTTATTCTGCATTTATCTAAGTTGAAAATGTCACAGGGCATCGGGAACTGAAGACTGTGTCACACTCCTCTCAGTATACGCTGTCTTCAGGAATAGAAAAGGAAGACAGCTCTTGAAATGTAACTTCCTAATAGTATAATGAGAAGGCCCTGAATCCCAGAGAAATACGGGCGAGTGCTTTACCGACTGGTCACCCAACTCTACTTATAAAATCAGTCCCAGTCGCTGAAGTTTGGAACAGCCTAATAGCACATTCCTCCACCAAAGGCATCATCAATTAAACAATGATTATATTTTCTTTTGCCCTTAAATTCCAGGAGATTTTGCTGTGCTCTTAAGCTCTGGACTTCCTATTAGGACTGCCATCCTTATGAATTTTATAAGTGCTCTGACTGCCTTCATCGGACTGTACGTTGGTCTCTCAGTCTCAGCTGCTCTGTGTGTTCAGAACTGGATCTTAACAGTGACTGCGGGGATGTTCTTATATTTATCCTTGGTGGAAATGGTAAGCTATGTGGCTTTTCTAGTTTGTTTTTCTGAACTCTGAAAATGTAGAACAGAGACAGAGCCATAAAATGGAAAGATAGTTGGGGAGAGGGGAAGAAGGATATGTTTAAAAATATGGGGGCGCCTGAGTGGCTCAGTCGGTTAAGCGTCGACTTCAGCTCAGGTCATGATCTCAGTTCGTGGGATCGAGCCCCATGTCGGGCTCTGTGCTGACAGCTGGCTCAGAGCCTGGAGCCTGTTTTGGATTCTGTATCTCCCTCTCTCTCTGCCCCTTCCCTGCTCATGCAGTCTCTCTCTGTCAGAAATAAATTTAAAAATTAAAAAAAAACCTTTTAAAAATATGAAAGGCTAAAGAAGTAGTCTGTGTAATACAAGAAAGTAAGTTGTAGGCAGAAGAAACATAATTTGAGATACAGAAAATATTGATGTCCTTTCAGTGAATTTAAGTGGAATGAGCGAAACCTTTAGAATTGCCAAAAAGTGATCATCAGTTCATTCTGCTCTAACTTTGCACCCCTCTATGAGGCCTGTTCTTCTAGCGGAAAAATGGAAAGTTCTGTGAAACAGCCAGCTATGTTGTTTATACATTAGAAAATAGTTCAACCGAATTTGTCATTAATTAATGAACTGTTTGGCTTAATTAACCAACTGTAGTGTTTTGTTTTGTTTTTTTTTTTTTTTTTGAGGGAGGGAAAGAGAGAGAGGGAGAGAGAGAAGGAGAGAATCTTAAGCAGGCTCCATGCTCAGCATGAAGCCTAACTCGAGGCTCGATCCCTGAGATCATGACCTGAGCTGAAATCAAGAGTAAATGTTCAACCACCTGAACCACCCAGGTGCCCCAGCCAATTGTAATTTTTAAAAATAAATGATTTAAGTTTTAATTGCTAAAGGGCTATCAGACTGGTAAAATGAGAAAGACTATAGTGTTGAGTCTCTAACATTGCAGTGTGTATTTCCTAGAGAGGGCCTTGCTGATACTTACGGTAACTCAGTCATCACTTTTCATCCTCTAAAATCTGATGAAGGAATGAAAGTTGGGAAATTTTACCTGTTTTCGATTCTAGAAACTGCAAAATAAACCAGATTTTTAAAGGCCACCCTCTATTGGACTTTTTAGGTCTTAAATGTATTAAGGGGGAAGTCATAATAACGATCCCTTCTTGGGGCACCTGGATGGCTCAGTCAGTTAAGCATCCAACTCTTGATCTCAGCCCAGATCTTGATCTCAGGGCTGTGAGTTCAGGCCCCGTGTTGGGATTCGCAATGCATATGAAGCCTACTTAAAAACAAAACAAACCAAAACAAAACATGAAACTATCCCTTCTTATGTGTTGGAATAATACAAATAAAAATGACAGACACGAGTAAAAGAGATACTTAAGAGTGAAAACCAATAGAAAGCCAATCCAAATGGAAGTAAAATATGTGATGACCTGTATCCTGGAGCAGAAAAGTAAAATAAACAATACTGAAGGTAAAATGTGGAACAGGACCATTGGCGATTGACTTGTGATGTCACAGAATCTCGCTATTGTCCTGGAAGTTAAGTAAAGAGAAATGTTTTATAAGGAAAAAAATCTGAAAGGCAGGAACCTGTGCTAATACAACCAGGTAACAGCAAATTCTGGAAGTAGAATTCTATAAGGGCTCCCTTCAATGAAAACAACCATTGTAAACCCTGCTCTAAATATGTTTGACTTTTTGGTTATTTTTCTTAATTCTCACGAGATTTAGAGAGAGGAGGTCATCACCAAAAGGTACTTCTGTGTTTAGAAATGTTCTTACATGTTGTTTATGATACTCAGGGAATTTCCTAATCTTGATGATGAAGGCAGACTAGTGGGGCAGGTTCAACCCACCTCTTCTGAACCCTAATCCTCAAGCCGTGGTCAGTATTACAAAATCCCATGGTCCTTCCAGCTTGAGAGATCTGGGTTGCTAGCCTTGTGTGGCAGCTTCAAAAGCACACTGTCACTCATCACTGATGTGGTGAGCTCCTTTTTGTTTAAAATGTCTGTATATCAGGCTTCAAATTAACTCTTGGGTCTCCTGATGGTCAGTTTTCTGCCTCTGCCTTCCTTTCTCTTTATGACTCAGTTGAGGGAAGGTTAAGCAATGGCTCGTAAGAAATGTGGCAGATATCCTATGAGATTCCAACTAGAATGAATCTTGACCTTGTTGCAAATTACTATTGGCCAAGGGAAAATCGGCATCCTGGCAAAAAGACAGGAAAGAAAATACTCTCGAGTTTGCTGGGGCTACTTCCTATAATCCAGGTCGCCTGCTCTCACGGCCTTTTCAGTAACTTCTAAATAAATAGGACTCTTTCACATAGCAGCAACTTTAACTGTTGCTGTGCGCTGGGGCTGTGCCAGAGAAAATAGGCTTTTGTCATTTAAAGGGAAGAAAACAAGGTTTCAAGACTCTGTAAAACAGCAAAGAAAATAAATGGCAGTAAGTAAAGGGTAAGGGCGGGCGAATACTTTCACAGACTGGTTATTTACTAAATGCTGGAAATTTACCAGGCACCTTCTGAGCTGGGCTAATGTGGAAAGATTAGCTACATTTTTGCCTTGCTTGTTTGTTTCAAAGAAATTGGGTGTGTTATTTCAGACTCCCAGAAGAAAAAGAACAAGGGGCAAAAACCGGGCCATTAGCGATGAAGTCAGCAAAGCAGAAAGTCTTCACTAGGGAAATCTGCCAGCCTAAATTCTCCAAAGTAGGATTGCTTTATCCAAGCACATTGACTCTTGGTGGCATTGAATGGTTTCTAAGGAAATTTAAGAATGAATGCAGGCTTGAGTGCCCAGAGGAAATTCACGCTCTGGGAAAGATGAGTGTGCTAGGCTGGGGTTGCCCCAAGCAGAGACTAAAGACAAATGCGCGTGTGAAGGCAGTTCATCCTGGAGGTGAGCCCAGGAGCAGGAATGAAGGGCAGGTGGAGTGAAGCAGAAAATGACAAAAAGTCAATAAAATGATGTGTGTTTGTTAACTTGACCACCACTATGGGGACCCACCACATCAGACCTTCTGAGGGGGCTTCTGTCTCCGTTGTTCAAACCTAGCCCCACAAACCTATCCCCCCTCCATACACCCCTTTCTGGCTATGCATGCTTGCACAACTGGGAAATTCTCTCGATGGCCTCATGCCAAAACATTGGAGAAGCCCAGGGCAGGAGAAAGAGAAATGCAGTGTGGGCTACAGCAAAGCTCTCTGCAAATCTTGCCAACACCTCCTTGGAAATGGTCTCTGTGGCAGTGGCTCAGCACCCAAGATGAGAGAACACGAGAAGTCCCTTGTGGGTGGTAGCCAGCCGAAACACCATAGAGACTTAATGCAAGATACTTAGTGACATAAGTTCCAAACCCTACTGGTCTTTTTTTTTTTTTTTTAATGTTTGTGTATTTATTTTGAGAGAAAGAACATCAGCAGGGTACGGGGTTGGGGGGGGGAGTTGGGGGGCAGAGAGGTAAAGGGAGAGAGACAGTCCCAAGCAGAGTCTGCGCCGTCTGCACAGAGCCCAATGTGGGGCTCCATCCCACGAACCGTGAAATCATGACCTGAGCCAAAATCAAGAGTCTGACACTAATCCGGCTGAACCACCCAGGCACCTGCCATTGGTCTTGTGGCAATATTTGATATTCAACCATCGCTGTCCTCTAGTACCCAATCTTGATTCTTTACACCTTCAGGGAGCACTTTGGCTGACCCAGATTTCTTTTCTGGTAGGGTCAGGTCTTCACTGAGGGGTCTACTTTGTCCTGGTCGGGCCATGTTTTCAGTGGCTGTCCGTTTACCATTGTCAGCAAGCATCAAGAGACGTTTCAGGAAACCCCTGATTTCTGGATATGTGCCTTGCTTCCTCCATTGTGTGGCCGTAACCCTAGTACAAATTCTACCAATGGAAGACCACAGTTACGGTCTACCATTGCCTTCTGATTTTCTTTCTGCTATCTCTAAAATTCCCTTCCTTCTACTCACTTTGCATTAAGTTTCTGCTTATGTTCTTCCTTTGTGAGGTAGAATGATATATCATTGATTTAAAATCTTTTCTTCTCTTAGATTAGAAGACCTAAGCCTTTAAAGGTATACATTTTCCTCTAAGCACTGCTTTGCTCGATCCCATATGTTTTAATATGTAGTGTTTTCAATACTGATCACCTTGAAATGTCCTTAAATTTCTCATGTAACTTTTTTTCTTATTCGACACACGTTCTATAGAAGTATGGTGCCTGCCTTCTCAATATTTGTAACTTTTAAAAGTACCTTTGGTTATTGATTTTAATTTAATCCCTTCATTGTCAGATATAGTCTACATTATTTTAGTTCTTTGAAATATTTTGAGGCTTTTGTATGGCCCAGTGCATGGTCTCTGCTGGTAAATGCGCTCAGATGCATTTGGAAAGTACACGAGTGTGACAGCTGTTGGCGATAGAGTTCTGTGAATGTCAGTGAAGTCAGGCTGGTTGATGGTATTATTCATGTTTTCAAATTCCATACTGATTTTTTGTCTCCACCTCTGTTAATTATGAGGGAATGGCATTAAAAATATAGACTTAGGTGTGTGGGTTTGCCTATTTCTCTCTTGATTTTATCAAGTTTGCTTTATGCATTTGAAGCTCTGTTATTACATGCATGCATATTTAGGTTTGTCCCGTCTTCCTGATGGAATTGATACTTTTGTCAGGCTGAAAGATCCCTCTGTTTACCTCTGATGAAACTCTTTGTCTTGAAGCCTCCTTTGTCTGATGTTAATAAAGTCGCCTCTGCTCTTCTGCTTATTATTTGCACAGAATATTTTTTCACCCTTTTATCTTCTCCTGGCTGTAGAAAGTAAGTGGTGGGGAGTATTTGACATGTCACATAACAGAAGTATCTGATATAATCAGCAATCCCTGGGATTACTAGGTTAGAATCCATTTATCTTGTTTATCCACTTTCTCCAAATTGTATTTATAACCAGATCTATTGGTTTGGTATTTTGGTTTTTGGGTTTT